TGGATCAGCTTCGTTATCAAGTTATACAATTTGTCTAGTATTGAGTTCACAAACATACTCATTTAGGGACGGGGTGCCGGCGTCCTTGTCGCCAATTTTATTAGACTTGTTGCGTAATTACGATATATAAAGGACCATATTTGTACTTGAATATACATTTTTATGGTTGATAATGGAATTATATATCAGCCTGCGCTAATGGTTTACGCTGGCGCCCCACCACTGGAGGATGATAAGATGAGCATGAGGGCAGGTCCTGACCTGCCCTCATGCTCATCTTATGTCACCTGTGACATCGTGACAAATTCACCAAGAATTTATCACGATGGTTTCCAGGGAGAAATGCACTGAGGTGAACCTGACATGGTACATTGCTAGCAATAAGATCATCAGTCCAACATTACTATCGATCCCCTTTCCCCCTGAAAAGGCGTTGTTAGGTGTATGAGTCTGCTATGAGTCACCGCAGACTCATACACCGACAGCGCCGAGACGAACAGCGGAGTGGCGCGCAGTGTTGTAACCGCAGAGCGAGTGTATTTCTTTATAATATTTGTTTATAATAGCTGAATATGGAATGAGTGCATTAGTCTGTACTAGTGGTGTACATATGAGCACAGATAATAGAATATATATATAATATATAACTTTATTACTGTCGGCGCACAACACTAGCGATCGGCTCGCTGTAGGTCCAATCCGGTTGAGGTTGGCTCGCCTGTACCCTTTTCGACGTCCACTACATATGACGTGCGCATAAAATTTATTTGTAACTTTTTAAAATATAATCATTTAAAATTGGAGTCAGATTATCATTTATATCCACCTCGGAACATGGTGACCACGACGTGATTTTCAAGATATCAATTAATATAAAGTAATATTGCTTGAAGCCAGCCGGTCAACAGTATTAATAAAACACCGCCGCTAACGCTTAGCAAGAAGAATATTTATCTACCTCAAAATTACATGGGAATATATTGAAGAAATTTATATATCTGGTATTATCTGTTTCTGGAGAAGCTAGTTACAACAACTATAAAATACATCAACAATTACGGAAGGCTATCCACCAATTGCTTAAAGCCAGCCGGTCCACCAGCAGACTACGAGCAGTGCCGCAGCCACAGCTTAGCAAGGGAAGTGCCTTATCCTATCTTTCCTACCTAATATTATTGTAATCATTCTGCCTCAATTTGCTTTTAGTTGCCACTTCTTAATTAGTGGTTAATAAGAAATGATAATATAATACATAAATAAAAAAAAAGATGGTTATACAAAAATATGAGCAAGGGTCGGCTTATCTCTGAAAGAGATCTCTTCCAGCCAACCTAACGATGTGACAGAGGTGGTAGTGAAGCGAGGGTAGTGCACGAGTAGATTGTAATGTTGTAAAAACATAATAAAACATTATATTCTACAAAATTATATAAAAACATACAACTTACAAAATATATGAAATATAATAGGATATGAGAGACATTGGTAGAGGATTAGGATGAGGATAATAATAATAATAATAATCTCAGGACAATTCAAACAGAGCCATCTAGACCCAAGTTAAGCTAGCTAGAGCTTGTGTTATGGGTACTAGATAACTGATACATATACAATTACATAGATATTTTTTTTGTAAATACATACATATTATACATAGAAAACATCCAGACCGATACAAACAATCATACTTATGAATACAAATGTTTGTGCCGTGCGAGGAATCGAAACCGCGACCATCGGTCGTAACGCGGTGTGCTTGACCGCCAGACCACCGAGGTCGTCAAGACAGAGAATGAAGACAGATCACTTGTTTGTTTGTTTGTTTATTACTATAATATTATTTTTGCACACATAATATATCTAATATAATAAAAATAATGACCCAAGACAATTCACATAACGCGATCTAGACCCAAGCAAAGCAAAGCTTGTGTTATGAGTACTAGACAACTGTTATAAATACTTAAATCTTTTTTGTAAATACTTACATAACATACATAGAAAACACCCAGAAGGATACAAACAATCACACTAATGAATACAAATCTTTGTAACGTGCAAGGAATCAAACCCGCGATCACCTACGCCTTCAATATGACATCAGTTATGACCTTTCCTGATCTTCATACTATCTATCTATCGACATAATGATGTATCTCAAAGAATAATGAATTTACAATACTATTAGAAATGTTACGGTTATTAGAAAATATCTCGAGTTTTAATTACTTTACTCGGAATATTGAAGTGTAATTTATGTTTTGGGTAAATAAATCTTAAATTAATATTTTTTATTAACCGAAACTCTATTAACAATTCTGTTTTACAACGTTAATAAAAACACTCTCACTAAAATGTAACGCGCTCATAAACTCGCCTTATTTCCTCATATTTTCCAATAAATGAGAGAATAGGCATCGAAAATCACTTTCGGCTTCGCAGCGACGCAAACCTGCCCGTTCGACCTTTGACTAGGTATTCCCCAAAGAAAAATCTGGGTCAGAGAAGCATTTTCGACGCAATTGATCGTGAGGATAGAGACGCTGATCTGGAGAGGCTCTCTGATCTCATATGTAGGTCAATGAGCCATACTTAATTGGAGAAAGACTCGCTAGCTACATTTATTCTAGCTTTCTGTGTACTTGTATATTTTTCTGACCTTGGCCAAGGTTTAGGTATACAACAGAGTTTCGAAGGCAAATTAGATCACGAATAAACTAATTTTCCCCGAGACGGCACCTTTTTAGGTTGGTTTTTCGTCCCCGTGAATAGAATGTGTAACAGAATTAACAAAATTGACGGCCTCGATGGTCTAGCGGTTGAATATCGCCTTATTTCCGATGGTCGAGGGTTCGATTTTACACGAACAAACATTTGTATTCATGAGTATGATTGTTTGTGTCGGTCTGGAATTCTGGATGTTTTCTATGTATTTACTAAAAAACATATATTCATGTATTTGTATATTAGTTATCTAGTCCTTATAACACAAGCTTTAGCTAGCTTAACTTTGGTTAGCTAGACGGGGCTGTGTGAATTGTCCTGAGATTATTATTATTATGAAATTATTCTATATTTTTTATGTATCACCTAGAAAACACCTTATATGTATATAAAGAAAATTTCACATAAATAAGATGTTAAAGCGTGAGGTTCTTTTTAAAGGGAGATTTATTCTATTCATATTAAAATATTTTATATAATATTTACTAGAATATCTAAAATATACTAAAATGAGTCAATAAAGACAAAACTTCACTAAATAACCCAGACACTTGGTTGCCATTAATTTAATGAATAGTTCAAATATTGTTTTTGTACACTACTCGAATAGAGGAGTCTTCAAAGGAATTTTGTTGATGATTTTTGTAATTAACAGATTTTGGTATTTCAATTTAGCTCCAGTTTGCAATCAATATATTTATTTTAATTGCATACCGTTTAAAATATTTTAATAATCGAAAACACAAACTTATCATCATTCATCTGTTGATCTTATTAATATAGTTAAACGTCTTTTAACACAAATAATTTTCGATATTTAAATCCGTTTGCCTAGGGTTGACTTGAAAGAATTGCTTTCAGCTTATAGTAACTATACATGTGTTTTTTTAATATTTTGTTCTTGGCCATAAAAGACTTTGGTTAAAATCGGTGTTACCTACACTATGTCTTTTGAATTTAAATACTTAAACGGGTTTTAAGTCGAATAATCTTATAGTAAACTAACTGTACCCGCGACTTCGTCTGCGTGGAATTTAACTTCATTTTTCTAAAATATGCCAATAAAAGTCCCGTCAAAATCGGTCCAGCCATTTCAGAGATTATCCGGCACAAACCGATAGAGAGACAAAAATAGTAAAAAAATGTTATTTTGGTGTATGTATCGTATTTATATTCATATGCATGTAGTAAAAAACGGTTATTTCAATATTACAAACAGACACTCCAATGATATATACTAAACGCGAAGGTTTACAAATAAGTAAAGCAATCTAATACCCGTGGGATTAGATGATATGACCCTTTTATTACCATATCCTTAACTCGTGAGGATATAAGAAACTACTACATATTCGCCAGACTAGATTGGAATTGGTAGTTGATATTTATACAATGTAAAGTAGTAGCCCGATAAATTTTCGCAGTCCATTCCTGAATTTTGTTATTCAGCCTACATACCTAATTTGACCATCACGGTTTGCCCGATAAAGTACCGCTATGAGGCGTTCTGTCCTGTTCCAGGCACCGCCGTCTTAAACTAGGCTGGGGCCTTTGGGCACACAAGAATTCGGGCTCCTTTTGGAAAGTAAAAAAAAATTGATAAGAACATAGGGATAGGCGAAATAGGCGTAGTATATGCCTATGCACAAAAAATCTGTAGATTCTGCCAAACTGAAGAGGAAACGCCGCTTCACATCCTATGTGGTTGTAGCCCACTCATGCATAAACGAAATATCTCCTTTGGAAAGTTTACACTTTTTCCCGAGGAGATAAAAACCATCGCTCCTAAGATATCCTTCAATTCTTGTCCCTGACGGGTCTAGGTAGCGAACTTTGAAAACGGGCGAGCACAATAGATCTATGTAGGTCGCTGTGCTACAGGTGCTACAAACATCTGACAATAGCCCAAACAACCAAATAAAAAAAAATGCCTTCTAATAACATTTGTGAAAAAAGTGTAGTGTGCCCGACAAAAATCTTTTGAGAATTATAAATTGTGTTTCCCAAAATTAAAAATTAAAATTAATACATTTAATAAGCTAAAGATCAGTTGGATTAGTAAAGGCATAAGGCTTAGCAGTAGGGTAAAAAGATCACTGAGATATAAATATTACAAAGATAAGACTTTAGAAAATAAAACTAAGTATAAAACATACTCCAATGTATTAAAAAAATGTATATATAATCTCAAAAGAAACGCAAACATTAAATTCATTAACAGGAGTAAAAATAAATGCAAAGCATCTTGGACTATTATAACAAATGAAATCCACAACATGACATGTGATAATAATATAAATATTTTAAAGACTAGTAATAAAGTATTGACAAAACCTACAGACATAGCCACAGCTTTCAACAACCATTTTATTGACATAACAAATGGATACAAAGAGGAATATTATAAAATGAACTCTAAACGAACTGTGAGTCACTCAATGTTTCTAAAACCAGTTTCACAGAACGAAGTGAAAAGACAGGTTTTATCATTAAATAATACAAATTCTGAAGGATATGATGAAATATGTACAAAAATAATAAAAGACAGCATCGACGAGATAATAGATGTTTTAACTCACCTAATTAATTTATCTTTCTCAAGCGGAACGTTCCCTGAGCTTTTAAAAGCATCCATAGTAAAACCCCTTTATAAGAAAGGTAATAAAGATGATATGGCAAATTATCGTCCAATCACATTAATACCAATTTTCTCAAAGATCTTTGAAAAATGCATGTTGACGCGATTAATGGATTTCTGTAACAAATATGAAATAATTTCAAAAGACCAATATGGGTTCCAAAAAAATAAGTCGACAACACTTGCCTCATTTTCTCTCATAAAAACAATTTTGACAAATATAAACGACAAAAAATACACTACAGCTGTATTTTTCGATCTTTCAAAAGCTTTCGATTGTGTATCCCACAAAGTATTGTTGAATAAACTGGTAAACGTTGGAATAAGAGGCCTTGTCCTGGATTGGATAGCTTCTTATCTTAACAATAGAAAACAATGTGTAACAATCACAAAATTGGATAAATATAATATTGTCACACCTTATTCTTCTGGATACAGATCAAATAAATATGGAGTTCCACAAGGAAGTATATTGGGGCCCATACTATTCTTACTGTATATTAATGATTTAATTGAAATAACTACAAATAAATGCATTGTCTTTGCAGATGACATTTCTATTATAGTAACTACTGATAAAAAATATAAAACATTGAAAGACCACGAAATTGATATAAATGAAACTATAACCCTAATAATTAAATGGCTTAACATGAATAATTTGACAATAAATGTAAATAAAACTAATTATATTAATTTTAATAAATTGAAAAATGAAATCTGTCATCTTAATGTTAACTACAGAAATATACAAATTGAATCAGTTAATGAAACAAAATTTTTGGGTATAATGATAGATCAACAACTTAATTGGACAAAACAAATCGAAAATATTAGTAACAAAATTAATAAGTTTATATATGCAATGAAGCGTGTTAAAAACATAACGAACAGAAAGACTGCACTTACTGCATATCATGCATACGTGGAATCTGTACTGCGTTATGGACTATTAATATGGGGAAATGGTACAAATATTAATAGGGCATTCATTGCTCAAAAAAAGTGTATTAGAGCATTGTGTGGTCTTGCACCGTACGAGTCATGTCGAACACGTTTCAGAGAACTTGGACTACTGACACTTCCATCGCTTTATATATATGAGGTAGCTGTTTTTGTAAAACAAAATTTAAATTCATTTACGAAAGCAAAGGACATTTATCCAAGAAATACCAGAAATCCTAATAGATTGGTACTTGCTAAAACCCATACAATGACACAGTACACAAAAAACTGTGAAAATATGTGTATAAGAATTTATAATTGCATTCCTGAGACATTAAAGACGAATAAGAAAATATTATTTAAGAAGACATTACGAGAATGGTTAAAAAATAAGGAATTTTACAGTTTAAACAATTTTTTTGACAATGTATAAATACCGACTAGAGAGAACCTATTTAACTATTATTATAATTATTATTATTATTTCTTTCTGTATAGTTAATTATGCATAATTTTAAACAATAATATTTTGCATGCCTTTACTATGGCAAAACACATGATACTAAGTTTTAATTACCATCTTTTATACTGTGTTTTTTAAGCAAATAAATTATTATTATTATTATTATTATTAATAAATGTGTGAGTAAAATTGTCAGTCCTTCGGAGGCCCCCTGAGAATGGGAGCCCTGGTTACGGGCCCCGTGTGCTCTTATGGTAAAGAGGGTATTGGTTCCAGGTCACAGCAATAAGATCTCGCTTTTGAAAATAGAAAAAAAAACAGTAACACAAGAGTATGACATGTTGGTAAATAAAAAAACTAGAGAAGAAAATATTATTGTTCATTTCTAACATTCATTAATATATAGTTCTCGTATTCTTTGTGCCTTTTGCCGTTCAAGTTTAAGAAGAAACAACTTAAAGATGCGGACTACGAATACCTTTTTTTCCTTAGAGAAAGTCCTCATGGAGACCCATATACCGAGGTATAAATTTACCTAATAATATTTACCTAATCTACACATATCTACTTACCTAATCACTACAATAACCACTACAACATTATTCTAAAGAGCTAAAGTTTGTGGGATTGTTAATTCGCGATAATTTTCGGTGATCCGATTTCAAAAATTCTTTTAATGTTGGTTACCCCATTAATCGAGGAAGAAGATCGGAGAAGCAATGAAAAATTTTGCGGGGAACGAGAAAATGGCCGCACCTCCCCTGTGTGCGAAGTGTGCGGAGCACACAGGCGCATGTATGATTGTTATGAAATTATTGTTTTCTATTTATAATTAATTACACTCAATAGCATATACTATAGCAAACAGCAACACCAACTTGTAGGATAGGTTTCGCACACAGGCTCTGTATGGGGTCGGTGCGCCCATGTATATATGAATATATGTATATATATATGTATTTAGTTGTAGGGTGAGATTTAGCTGTCAAATTGCAAAGTTATGACACTTTAATAAATCGTTCGTTTAAAATTAATGTTTTACGATTATTTATAAGAATTTAAGTAAGTAGGTACTTACATTACATCGCAAATATTTTGCAAAGACTCGAGTTACAAGCATTCGAGAAGCATTTTCAAGGATTCCGTACAAGGGGCAGCAAAGAATGAAAGAGTTCGAAATTAATTTTAACGGAGCAAACAGCTTCATTCCTCTCTTGAAACTTTCATATCGCCCAATCCAAAGGTTTCTTACTTTGTAAACTGGTTGTGTTTCAAAATGACGAAACGTATTTTTTTTTAATATAAGTATCTGGATGAATACAAATCTTTACAATGCTCGAATAATCAAACCCGCGAACCTATCGGAACTGTACTATGTCTATAGCACTGTACTAAACAACCTCTTCAAATAGATATTTTTGTATGTGGATGGTTTTTGTTCGTATTATTGTTGTTAAGGCCCCAACCATCACCTCCAAGGGGTATGCAGAAGACCAATGTCACTCAGAGAATCCATCAGACAATTTATAAAAGTCAACGCAAACAAAAATAGCTCCCGCGCTACGGTAAAATTGGCGCGTAAATTTTATTTTTTCTCATTCGTTTTTGTTTTTCTTGTTCCTTCGGCAAAGGGGTTTAATTCAAAACTTTTCAATGAAAATCAAAAGCCACGTTGACTGTATTAAAACTGGCTTGTTTTTTATAGAAGAGTGGCAGTAGTGTATGCTTTCAGGATGGAAAGCATTTAGGAAAAATGTTTAAAATGAAATGCTAGTTGATTATAAGAATAGAATAAATAATTTAATTCTGAAACACATGTACATAGCTAATAGCACAGATAAGATAATATTACATACTAATAGTAAATAATGATTTACTGACTATCATGTTTGCGATCGCAAATAGCCATTTAATATCTTTAAAAATAAAATTATAAATATTCAAATTTGGAACGTCAGGCATAGAACATCGATGTTATTTTATATACATTTTGCACTTCTTCTAGTACATTCCGTGGCGACATTATTAAAATCAATCTACAATACATTCTAAATATTTTTTATTTCAATAGTACAATAAATTAAACAATGAATATTCCTCCAGCAAACATACCTGAGTCCACAAATGGTACCTGTTGTATTTGGATTTCACTACCTAATTTATATTATTAACAATTATTTATAACTTGTTTGTTTTTAAACCGATCTGAAGAAAACAGACACTAACTTATAATAAATAAATAACCTCGGACAATTAACACAGCGCCATTTAGTCCCACGGTAAGCAGTTTGCACTTATGTTTTGGGTACTAGATAAATGATATTAATACTCAGATATTTTTTATGTAAATAGATACATAATATACGTAGAAAACACCCAAACCAATACAAACAATCATACTCATGAAAACAAATGTTTGCACCGTGCGAGGAACCGAACCCGCGACCATCGGAGGTAAAGTTGCGTGTTAAACCGCTAGACCACTGAGAGCGTCAAAACTAACTTATAAGAGAAACTTATTACATTAGTGAAAACTGCACCCAACTAGGCATAGTTGTATCTGAGAATAGCACGCACAAACGTACACACAAATATAGGTAATTCTGACAATCATTATTATCCGTTTTATTACGTTGTTAAAGATATATGAGAAAAACTATTATTGGGAGACTCCAATAATAGTTTTTCTCATATATGTATCTTCCATATACAAACAGCGATTAATTACATTATTATTATACGTATAGTTATTTCTAAACTAATTTTCAACTTTACGTATGTTCTTGAACGTGAAATATGAACTCCCATCGTGATATTAATTAATCGATAAATATTACACTAATATATAATATAGTAATTATTTATGTATTTATTTCTCCTTACAAACATAGATATCAAAAAATATAGTATTTTCACAAATACGAGACATTGCTATTCACATTGTTCAGGCGTTTTAATTATTTGATAGAAAAATTCTTTATTCAACATTTACGGCATACAAAGCACAATGAAGGTATAGAAAAAAATAATATACAAATAAAAAAGTAGAGGTAGCATTATGTGCCACATCGGTGTATACACAACCGACTCAGCATAAAGCCACAGATAAACCGGTGCGGTGGCGTTGGTACTGTTGACACCTGTAGTATATGTATACATCAGCTATACATATAAATAAAATTGGAGTATCAGTTTGTAATATTGAAATAACCGTTTTTTTACTATATATGAATATAAATACAGTACATACAACAAAATATTTTTTTTACAATTTTTGTCTGTCTGTCTGTCTGCTTATTCCGGCTAATCTCTGAAATGGCTGGACCGATTTTGACGGGTAGCTGAGGCTACATTATTTTAGAAAAAATCTTTTATTTTAT